GTTCAAAATTCCTCCGTGAACAGCGCTGTAGTAGAGAGCACTTTGGCAATGAAGGTTTAATAATCGCAAAAATAGTTCTGTTCATAAAATAAAATTATAAATGCCTAAAATTCAATTTTATTAATTTTTAATTACAAAATTAAACTATCATAACCTAACCGAACTAACCAAACTTGCTGATAAAGAAATAATATAACAAAAGTTTATAGTAATGCAGCGCCGTCCTTAGGGAGGAGCGAGTGGAGCGGCCGCTCCAGGCCTCGCGCCGGAGGAGGCCTGCCCGGCGAGGCCTACCCGGCGAGGCCTTACTATCGCTAGAAATAAGTTAATGTTTTGGAATGAAAATAAAAAAATAAAGGACAGACAGATACATGTGCCTAAAATATGTCTTATTTATTATGAATTAGCCTATATCAATTGTTGTATCGATTAAAAACCTACGAACGACATTTAAAACACAAAAGAATATCAAACAACGTTTGACAGCTCGGCGGCGATGACGGAACCCGAGCCTCGCGGCAGCCACCGAGCCACCCCGGTGAATGTGAGTGAGTCATACGCTTACTCTTACTGGTACAGGTGCCATTAAAGTTCTATTGCATGATTAATTAAGTTCAATTTATTTACAGATGTAAATGTTTACTGGATTGAATGGATAATCAGCGTGGATAAGACTGACTGTAAACTACTCGCATTTAGCAATAAACATAAACCTATGACAATATTTGTCATTAAAGTAAAAAGTAATACTGTGAATCAATTACACTGTAATGATACTACCTCTTTTAATTTATTATCAAAAACTCATTGACAATTATAGGTAATAATTTTTTACCTTTAAACCCCCCATTACAGACCAACTGACGAAAACACAATAAACCTATATTGACAAAAAGTACATAAACAAGTTAGCCTATGAGCATTTACTATTTACAAAGTGACGGGACGACAATCCACAGTGAAGAGAAGTGTTCATTTTTTTATTAATTATTGTAAAGAACTTCGTGGACAATATTTATGATATTCACTTTGGAATTGGAATAATAATATGTGCAATTAGCTATGATATTAACGGCCATTTACAGAGTGTAAAAGAAATGACGAATTTGCAAGTATCTCATTGACAATTATTTATGTAATATTTTTTTAACTTTAAAACACCCTTCACAGACCAACTGCCGAAAACACAATAAACCTAACTTGACAAAAAAATAAATAAACAAGATAGCCTATAAGCAGGGCCGGATCTAGGAACCGCGAAACCCCGCAATGCGGGGGGGCCCAAGCCCTTAGGGGGGCCAAAGAGCTCGTAAAAATTAAAATTATTTTAATGCATATAAACATAATTGAATAGGACGGCAAGTTTAGTTTTGACAGACAAATAAATATTGTCAACATCAAAGCTAAAGTTAGAATTATTAAGTAAATTTAGACTTGTGATTTTACTCGTTGACAACTCGGGACCTCGCCCTAGCTAGACAGTTCAATCTCGCCACTTTCAGTCAGTCCATGTCCATACTCAGTCAGCTCAGTCCAGTCAGCACGTCAGCTGCATATGGCGAGCTTCACAGATCCACAGTCCGATCGGACCGGACCGAGCGACGTGGACGACGAAGTGTCAACTAGCACTAGCACTCACTCTCACAGTTGAGCTGAACAATGGGCGCGTTCTGGGAACATGTACCGGTGCACCGGTGCAGATTAACCGGTGACTTATTCACCGGTACCGCCCCGGGGCAAGATTCTTGGTATCCCAGAACGGTTATTCACCGGTTTACGGTACACATCGTATTACACATCATGATTTACACATTCACCTATTTTTACTTTATAATATTTAAACCAAACAAACTTGTCCTTACAGAATAAATTATTTGAAAATTATTCACTTAGTACGTAATTTAACGACCTCATAGAGTAAAATTATTCACTCATTACGCAACATAACCTATAAAACTGATGAACATTATTCGATGGACCCGCCATCTTGCCGTAGCTGCATGCTGTTGTCGTTGTCCAAGCAACTGACCAATCAGAAGCCGCCGGTGTATTATGCACCGTACAATTTCTCCGGTGCATAAATCTTGCACCGGTGGAGGAAAAAGAGGAAATAGCTGTCTGCTAGGTTAACTCACCGGTCTCCCAGAGCGACACATTTTTTGCACCGGGGCAACACCGGTGCACCGGTGCATGTTCCCAGGACGCGCTCAATAAGTCATAAGTCTGTCGTGGTACAGGAGGGACTTACTTGTACTAATCTTTGTAGCGTTATCTAATGACCTAATTCGAAGGCGTTTGGGACTCCGTCCAAACAGTAGTTTAAACTATTGCCACGACAAGCGCTGGGTGCAGCGAGCGATCTCAATCTGTCAACGCAATTATTTAGAGATCAGTCAAAATAGTGAATACTACTGTAGTTTTGTGAGGTTATGTTTATCGTGCCGTGCCGCCGGTATTCTATAGTTGTTAAATTAAATAATTAATTAATATACACAGTTGTACCTGTACCTCTGTTTCTTTTCGTTATAAGTGTAGTTAAGTGCGAATTAATGAACAATGAATTAGGTGAAAAACATTTCTACGAAGTATGCTAGTGGTGAGGTTGTAAGTTTTGAATAGAGAGTTGAGTTAAAACTGCTAGCTAGGCCCGCCAAAACCTGATTTAGTTTATAACCCAATCTCAAAAGTCATGCAAGAGCAGAAAAGGATTTTCTAGAAATTAGATTAAAACTAAAAATTAAAACTAGGTTTAAAAAGTGCAAGTTAAATTATGAAATAGAAACCACAATAGAGGATTAGTTGTTATGTTTTGCAATATCTATTCATATTTTAATATAGGCCTAGTTCTATTAGGATAATAAATCTGATCTATTAAATAAATTTAGTAAAAACTATTTAAAAATATACTTTACTCTACTCTACTTATGTCTACTTGATCGTGACAAACAACAGGTGAAATGGGAGTTTTTGGACTATTATTGGACACAGTTTTAGGCGTTAAAAATTGCTTTAGAAAGTCACCAAACGGCTATAAAAATGTGAAATTTTTCAGGGGGGGGACCCCCGGACCCCCCCTTTTCACTTGGGGGGTGCTCCACACCCCCCAAACCCCCCGGAGCCCCGTACGCAGCTATAGGGGCCCTTGGAGGACTTTTGCAGGGGGGCCCATATTTTGTAGATCCGGCCCTGCCTATAAGCATTTACTATTAATTATTGTCATCCCGCCACTTTGTTTAATTTACAAAGTGTTAATTCAATTCACAATCCACATACAGTAAAGGAGAAGTGTTAATTTTTTTTTATTAATGATTGTAAAGAATTTCGTGTGCAATATTTATGATATCCACTTTGGAATTGGAACAATAATATGTGTAATTAGCAATAATATTCACGCCCACTTTCAGAGTGTAAAATATTAATTTTTTTCGTCAAAGTACTTAAAATGACGACTTTAGAAGTATAATTTTACAAAAACTTTCCGGGGGGGGGCCCAGACCCCCCGGTGAGCTTGGTTAAACAAGGCCTCGCATTTTATAAAGACGGCTCTGAGTAATCGGAAAAATAATTCTGTTTATAAAATAAAACTAGAAATTGCTCAATTAAAATTTTATAATGACTTAATAATGAAATTAAACTGTAATAACCAAACCAAACCAACCAAACTTGCTGAAAATAAAAAAATCTTGGACAAAAAGTTAATGCCACCGGCGGGATTCGAACCCAGGACCTGCAGTATATCAGCCCGGCACGCTAAACATTAGACCACCGAAGCCGATGGCTATCGACCGTTTTGTTACGGTAATGGCGTTCCCTCAGCTAATAAGAAGCCCTCAGCTGTCATCGTAGCCTCTTCTATACCTCCCCTGAGTAAATACCCTCATGGATGGAGTTCGTCAAAAGTTTATAGTAAGTAAATAACATAGACACGACATAAAAACACAAAAACACGAAACTGAACATTTAACACTGGTCGACCAGGGGCCCATTTCATAATAAACTACAAGTTACAACTTGTAACTTGTAATTTCCATTAGATTTGCATTGTGTGATCAGCTGATTTACTAATAATATTAGTCTGTACTTTATAATGAAATGGGTCCCAGGCGGTAACGAAACACGTGATACGGAACCGGCCAGGGCAAGTCGCCATTATAGACGGGACGTCAATTCAAGGGACAGACCTATTTTGTCATGGTAGGGCCTAGTCTTTTCGCAATGAAGACATTAGACAAAATTATTACAGCTCCTTTTTTGTAAATTTAATAACTATTGATGGCATAAAAGTATTGCGTTTTAAATTTCGGCATGAGTAATTAGTCTAAAAACAGCATGAAAATTGAAAAATGTACCCTACGGGATGGTTTCTTATTCGTGAAGGTCGTGATTTTCGAGACATTAATACGAAAAAATCCTAGAACCTAGGGTATACAGTAAATGTTTGTGACATGTTGTCCCCGTCCCAAAAAAATATTAAAACACAATAACACATAATAATAAACTACCTTTACAGTACCTACGAAATAAAAGGCTAAGGATAAAACGTACGTTTAAAAATTTTTTACTCTACGGATTTAGGGTACTGTTTGTTTTTCAGGATATGATTGATTGGTTAATTTTTTACAGTAAATTATACGATACAAAGAGAAAGAACTATGAAAACGAAATAGAAGAGTACTAGCAGAGCGCCAGCAGTCAGGATTCAGATTCAAGTATTCCCTTCCCTTCATATTCGCAGAAAAAAATATAAAATGTAGTTCCCTAATAAATAAGCGATCTAACAACTGTTTACCCACTATTTATCCAAAACTCTTAAATCTTTAACATTTAGGTTTGCCATTATTGATTATTATAGTAAACATAACACCTAAAGTATAAATTGTTGGACAATTTGTTATTTTTTCAATTGGTAGTTTCTGTAGTTTTTGCCTCTGTCCCAGTAAATCATTATTTTTGCTCGCGAAGAATTTTTCTTAACCAAAATTTGATCCTTAAGAGGCATATTACCTGGAGATTATAGTTTGGGAAATAATTTCAAGTAATAAATATTATATAGTGCAAATTTCGTTTCGTAAATGTATCATTATACCATACAATTCGAGGTTTAAATAAGATTTATCACTTAAAAAATATTCTTCCGCGACGCCATTTTGTGTAAATTCGATATGAGACAAAATTGTTTTGACGTTGATAATATATCTGAATATTCTATCGTTGTACATTTGTGAAGTTTTAATAAATTTTATCAACTACTAAATCACCTGTAAGTTTATTTTGTTAAATATCTCTTGCCTATCATATCTCTCACATGCTCGTTTCAATCCACTAGAACACAGTATAGTACCTTTTTCATTGTTTCTATTATTTTTATATTATTACTAGGCTCTTCATGAATAGGATTGTTCCCTGTTTTGTTTGCTATATCAAACAATTTTCCATGGATGAAATTGCATATCTTAACTTTTTATCTAATTCCATATTTCATGTCACTAAATGTATGCTAAGCTAGGCTAGGTCTAACTTAGTCTCCTTGTTATTGCAATTATTGACACTATTGACAGGTTAACTTTGGCCTTTGAAATAATTTTTGGTGCATGGCCTGCCTATAATTTCCATTAAATTAAGCTCGTTTTTGGACAAAATTATCTGTTGTAACATACGAATCTGTTATATTATCTGTTGTATGTTGATACGAAACTCTCCAAGCAAGTACAGTACTTAGGCTAATACAATTTAAATGTCTTTTAAAGCTAATGGGCAAAATTGAGGTAGGCCTAACTTAGGTCATACAGGGCCTAACCTTTATCAAAATATAGCTTAGCATAGCCTAAGTTATTATCTTCTTCAGTACAAAAGTACTAAGCCTTGTTGATCCTAGGCTCGTACTGAAGATCTAGGCCTAAGTTAGTTTACATCTAGACATTCCTCTACTTAGGCTAGGCCTAATTAGGTAAGATCATCAAACTGAAACTTTAAGTTCGCAGAGGATACCTAGGCTTCCTTCCGGCAGTTACTGTCATAACCTAACCTAACAAACCAAACTTACTGATAATGAAAAAATCGGATAAAGGTTAAATTCTGTTCATAAAATAAAATTATAAATGCCAAAAATTCATACAAAAGATGTTCATTTAAGAAGAAATGACATTCAAAGCTAAATCTTTGACAAAACGTTAAAGTTACCGATTTGAACCAGAAACCTCTTGCACATCAGCTGTGCATTTTATCCACTAAGTTACACCACAAACATTGATGGATGTATACATCGTATCGTTGTGGTAACGTATTCACTTTGGGCCCTCACAACCCATCGACTTTACTGCCGGACGCCTAATCCACATCCGGTTACCGGACACTTATCCTTTGTGTTTTAAAGTTATTCTTATTAAAAGTCGGTTTTTGTTTACTTGAGAGGCTTCTAACGAGTTTTGTAAAAATTTGTTTTTCATTAATTTATTAACTTGGGCTAAGTTTTTTGGCCTATTCTGAACGCTTTTGGTTTTAGAAAATTTCCCATAGCCTATAGGGAATAAGCTATTAACTTGAAACCATAGGTCTCATGGTAAGACCTGGACCCGGGACTGATTTACTTTTTGTTTTGAGGTCCCCAGAGGCCAAAAACACCATCTGTTCAAATTCATATATATATATATACCGGTATATATTTCTATATTTCTAATTTATACTTAGAACGGGACCATGGGAACGGGGGTTTATGGGGGGTTTTATGGGTAAAAATGGGATTTTCCCATTTTTGACCCAAAAAACATAAAATTTTGGAATTTCTTTCCCAACCATTTTGTAGAGCTTATAAAAAGAAATAATTTAGTATATTGAAGCATTGTTGTAAATGCCTAATGGTTACGGAGAAATTTCAAAAAAGTGCAAATTTAAAATTCCCATGTTATTCTTAAATGGAGAAAATGAAAACTGTTGTAGTTTACTTGTTTATATGTATATATGTGGATTAAATTTGTCAAAATTGTTTATTTCATCCTATACTACCTACTGACGTTTGGTCAAAAAACACTGTTTACCTTCCCCGTAGCAGCAAACCTAAGCACTCGTTAAATCTAATGTTATTTAAATTGGGAATATATGTCTTATTTATGGAAATATTTTAGTAAATATGTAATCAGACAAGTTGAAATTCACTTAGTCTGCAGGTTTGCTGCGGCGGGAGTATTTTCCTTTTAGGTCGGTTTGGGTTAGGTTTTGGTTCACCCAAAAATGGGGATTTTCGGCACTTTGCATTTTTCAATGATTTTTCAAACCTGTGGCTTTCTGGGTAAAAACGGCTGTTGCCAAAAAAAGAGTTTAAAACTTGTTTAAAAAGGTTAGGTTAACTTAGGTAAGGCTAAGTAGTTATTAATAAAAAAAACTTTAAAAGTAAACAAAAAATAGTTAGGTACCTTTTTTCAATTTTTAAACGCGATTTTCAGGATGAAATTAGGCATTCGCACCAAAAGTCCCAAAGGAAAAAGTGTTCAAAATAGGCCAAATAATGAAAATAATATTTTTTCCAAAATTCTTTTGAAGCCCCTGAAGTAAACAAATACTGAATAGTTTGAACAATATGAATAAGATAGGGCCTAACTTACTTTAGAAAAATATTGGTTTTATTGTAAGTTATGGGACTTTTCAAGTAGGTAGAATAACTCACCGCCCGCCATTTTAACATTGCGCTGCAGCATTTAGTTAGGCCTAATGTAAGGTTGGTTTTTTCACTTTTTTTAACTTGTGAAAAAAGAGGATAGGCCTATACCTAACTTATAAATAGGTCTAAGCTATAAATTGACGTCTTTGTAAATTTAGCCTACAGTAGACTCCCTCTCATCCGGACTCCTCGGGACCGAGGCCAGTCCGGATAACGGGTTTTCCGGTTAAACCGACGTCCCCAAAACCCGTTAAAACGGACCATTTACTGTGATATTCAACTTAAATTTAGGAGAGCATTGTACTTAGACACGTGATGATTGGTCTCACATCGTTCCCACCAGAACAGTCGTTTCAGTAGGGTGAGGTTCATTTGTCCGAGTTTTCAACTGTCCGAGTTTGTTAAAAATTACAAACTATTTGAAAAATCAGTTGTCCGAGTTTTCATTTGTCCGAGTTTTGATAAATAACTAATAATAATTAGATAAATCAACTGTCGGAGTTTCATTTGTCCGAGTTTAAGAAATTATTAAAAAAATATCGAAATATCAAGTGTCCGAGTTTTCAACTGTCCAAGTATGATTTAAATAATAATAATATTCTTGGTTAAATCAACTGTCCGAGTTTTCATTTGTCCGAGTTTGTAAATTATTAAAAAAAAGTATCGAAATATCAACTGTCCGAGTTTTCAACTGTCCGAGTAGGGTCAACATCAAATGTGACACTGCGCGCCGAGACTAGCGTGTCTAAGGCGCAAGGTCAGAAGCCGATGTTAACCTCTTCTGCGAAGGAGTCAGGCATTGGGCGAGCCGCGAGAGCTCCTCACGTCGACTTAAGAAAAATTACATTATTTTTATTATAAGACTAATTTTAAAATTTTTAATTATAAAATTAAACTGTCATCACCTAACACAACCAATCAAACTTGCTGATGATATAAAATACCCCCGCCGCAGCAAACCTGCAGACGAAGCGAATTTCAACTTGTCTGATTACATATTAACTAAAATATTTCCATAAATAAGCGAGTGCTTAGGTTTCCTGCTAAGGGGAAGGTAAACAGTTAAAAATTAAAAATTTTTAAATTAGTCTTATAATAAAAATAATGTAATTTTTCTTAAGTCGACGTGAGGAGCTCTCGCGGCTCGCCCAATGCCTGACTCCTTCGCAGAAGAGGTTAACATCGGCTTCTGACCTTGCGCCTTAGACACGCTAGTCTCGGCGCGCAGTGTCACATTTGATGTTGACCCTACTCGGACAGTTAAAAACTCGGACAGTTGATATTTCGATACTTTTTTTTAATAATTTAAAAACTCGGACAAATGAAAACTCGGACAGTTGATTGATTTAACCAAATATTATTATTATTTAAATCATACTCGGACAGTTGAAAACTTGGACAAATGATAACTCGGACAGTTGATTTATCTAATTATTATTAGTTATTTATCAAAACTCGGACAAATGAAAACTCGGACAACTGATTTTTCAAATATTTTGTAATTTTTAACAAACTCGGACAGTTGAAAACTCGGACAAATGATGTGATCCCGTTTCAGTACTGTCCACTTCCTGCCAATCTAGTCCGGTTAAGGAGAAAAAAAGTTTTTAAAATGCAGAAGAGAATTATCCGTAATATTTTTGGACTTATAAGGAAAAAAATCCTGTAAGAGTTTTTAAAAATCACAAAATTCTTACTTTCCCCCGTATACAAATTATATAATTTGATTTTGTACATAAGACAAAATTTTTCAAATTTTCCAAATAACTCTGATTTTCACAACTATAACACAAGGCAAAAGAATAGCCTTACATACCCTAGGCATAACACCTCCACCATTGAACATTCTCCATATTACTCTGGTAAAATTGTATAATAGCCTGCCTAGCACCATAAAGGGTTTGACAGATTTTAAAAGATTTAAAACCAGTTTATTCAAATTGTTGTCAGATAAATGCTGCTACAAGATTGGGGACTTTTTCAATTAGCTATTAGTATGCAAATCAATAGTTAGTTGTAATGGTTGAACCGTAAGTAGTTGTAGGGGAGAAAGTGTATACATATAGATTATAGCTCTTAATTACCTAATTAGTGCTGTAAATAGGCCAAATGTATAGTTATGTTTATTCTTGACTGGACACAATTCATGTATAGAAATGTAGGTACTGTTTGAATAAAGGATTTTTTGATTTGATTTGATTTGATTTAAACCAATGTGCTGATAAAAAATGTCCGGTTAAAGAGATGTTATTTCCGCCGAGTGTAGTCCGGTTAAACCGATGTCCGGTTAAAAGGTGTCCGGATAAGAGGGAGTCTACTGTACCGGTACCTCTTTAATAAATTAGCCTACTTAAAATATAAACTTTTGTTTTTTTTAACCTTTGGCCTAGCCTATTTGTAATTAACGGTACTTTCCTGTTAAAGGGAACATTTATTATTATCAATGATTTTTTCGATATTTTTGTTTTCCTACGATCCATTACAAATTGACAACTGATCTTGTTTAGGCTAAAATATAGTCTATTATATGGGTAAAGAAATGGAACTGTTCTAAGCTAACCTAACATAACCAACCAAACATGCTGGACCATTTAAAAATTCCGTTTGATAGGCGAACAGAAAAGGTAATTGATATTATAAGGCCTTACCTTAGCAATCCTGTTTTTTGATCTGAAATTAATTTCGGGCCCGAAGGTCCATCATCAGTCGGAATCTAGTAGACCAAATTTTTCTAAAATAGAATCCACCTGTTGGGTTTCGTAGAAAGTTTCACAACATTTAAGACAATACAAGTCATAGTCAATGCGAAAAGAGTAAAACAATTAGGGTTGAAAACCATGGTTTTTATAATGTCAACCTCACTTTGGTTAGAGAACCTGTTACGATTGTTTAATCTTAAAATATGCCCAATATTTCTGACCATTCTGTATAGGCCTATACTAGCTGTTACCCACAGGCTTCACCCCGTTCAAATTCATAAGTATTGAAACACTGATTGGTTAAGGTTAGCTGAAATAAACAAAACAGAATGCAGTAATACAAACAAATAATCACACCTGATTTTAATGAGGTAATAAATTGAAAGAATAACAAACAAATAAATAAAAAATAATAATGAATAAGCTATGGAAAGTTCCGTTTAGAAAGATGACCTTAAAGGGCAATTTATAAAATAAAGGACAGTTTTGCGCAAGGTTTTTCGTCATGACAAACATTCCAAGTATATGGTTTATGGGGATGTGACTTTTAGTTTTCTCTAAAATTCATAGGTACTTTGGGATTGATATATGGATTTACAAAACAGAATGTATACTTAAGTTAATTCATACAATAATAGTACGTGTTATCATAATAAATGTTTAAAGTCTCCACCTTCGTGGTCAATGCATATTCTTAGTCTTTGTGGTAGAGGTTATTGAGCGCGAAGCAGAATTGCTTTCTAAACGAATTGCATGCAAAACGAATCGGGTAGACTTCCGTATCTGTTGGTACAAACAACCGAATGAAAATATTGATCAATATAGCCATCATTTGATATATCATTTGGTTAGTTAGGTAAGGTTAACCTAACCTAACGAACCAAATGATATAGGCTATTGAACGAAACAATCGAATAATCGATATTTTCATTCGGTGGTTTGTGCCAACCCTATACGGAAGTCTACCCAACGAATCCTCTCGAGCATGTCTGCTGCAAGGTTTCTCATCATGACGAACATTTTAAGTATGTGGTTTATAGGGGTGTGACATTTAGTTTTCTCAAAAGTTCATGGGTACTTTAGGATTTATAATATGGATTCACTTAAAATCTATGCGTGTAGCCCCTGAGCTGTTGGACATAATATAAGACTAAATTACTTACGTATTCTTGTCATAGCTCAATTAAAGTTTTATTGAGATGTGATGAGAATACGCAAGTAATTTAGTCTTACATTATGGATTCACCATGTAAAGTAATCGGTGATTAACTAGTAGGTGCTTCTACCTTAAAATACAAATTTTTGTTGCTATGTTGTTTATTAAGAAATACAGTTATAGGCTATACACTTTTAGCCTATATCATTTTACATTCGCTGATTCATTTGAATTGAATATTATAAAGTGAATTTTAGGCTATATATTAAGTGTGAATCATAAATAATTAGTTGTTTTTTTGTAGACAGAGGAATTGATGGAAAGGAGGGAAATCATCAACAAGCACATACATTTGAAAGAATGCTTCAATACATGGCAATGAAGCAGTTTGTAAATATTGTCTGGCTATTTAGTAGCCACGTATAACAAGGAATGCAGGATGCATTTTCTCAAGACATGTTCAATTTAAGTGACATTAACAGCTCCAGGTAATAGAAAACTTTGGCATGTTCTTATTCAAATCTATATTGTAACAAATGTTTGTTTTTCTTTTTCGAGTCGGTTTGGCTCTTCTACCTGACCTTTTTCTATAATTTTGGTCTTAAATAAAAGGTACATACATGCACAGATTTGCCATCAAGCATCAGCATCGTATATTTCGGGTTATGCATAAAAGAAACTTCCTCCCTATACATTTCTTTTGGTTTTAAATTTTGTTTTTCTTCTCCGAGTACGTTTGGCTCTGTGTTTAATCTCTTTTCTTTTAAAATCTACTGTTGATAAATTTAGTTTACGTTGTTCAGACATGATTACCGCACAACAGGCACACAAAACATTCACAGCTCACAAGCACAAAAAAAACCTGGATGAACCAACTGATAATTAATAATACAGGAAAGACTTGGTCCGCAATGAATACTCGCTACTGATCTATTGAAAGATAAATGATACTCTGACAAATAGGAGTGTGGTAGGTTTGAAGTAGGGGTTTAACTTCGTTCTAGTCAGAATGTTGTTGTTCCCTTCCAATCCGTTCTGGCAAATTCCCATGGGAACTGTTTCATACAATTACGTAGAGTTGTGTTATGAAGGTTGACCTCTCAAAACGACTTGTCATAGAGGTTCCGAGTTGCCTTGTGATTTGGGAAAAAGGTGTCTTATTGAGGTTGTTTTAATAGAAATAGTCCTATTTTATAGGTTAACTAGCTGGCCCGACGGACGTCTTCCTTTCCTAATGTGGTTTTATGTCAAATGCTCGTTCAATTTCAATGAGCTCGTTCACATCGCTCAATCACGTCCTGGTTGAAGTTCGTTTGCTACGCTTACTCACCTTTAGGTAGGAGCTCGTTCTCTATGCTAACTCGCATCCAGGTTGAAGTTCGTTCGCTACGCTCACTCACCTTTTGGTCGCAAATTAGCTGATGTCATAAATTAGAAAAAATAATAGTGCTGCACCCTGAGGGTAAACCTATTAACTTTTTATTGCTATTGAACATCACAGAATCAAATTGTTTAGTTGAACCAGCTGTTAAGATTCTTTAATTCCATTTAATAAGGTTAACATAGGGAAACTCCAGAGCCACTGGGGCGGAGCCGATTGGACGTATCACGAAATTGATGGTGTATAAACCTATTCCATGAAATTCTACACGTATGTACCAAGTTTTGTGGCAATCGGTCCAACGGTGTCCGAGCTCATAACGTTCAAACATACAAACTTCCTCTTTTATAAATATAGATTTAACATTGAGTGTTATGGCTTTTTCAAAGGGATTTGAAAAGTGCACTAGTAATGAAGGTTTTCTTGTCATTGAGGGTCATGTAATCAAGTTTCCACTGTATTATCATTATCTAATCATCTCAATTGAGCCATGTCAGTTGATGAATTTAAGTTTAACTTGTGTTTTTATTTTTTTTAGATGTAATGGCCATGTTCCATTTTCAACGACTGGTAAAGTGCCCACCAAAAGGGATCGCAAGGGTTGCAAGAAGGGGAAGATTGAAGCTATTATGAAAAATAACTTTGTTTCTTCCAAACCACGTACCAAAATACAAACATCCCCAGTTGTGAAAAAATTCAAACCAATTCAGTCAGTAACTAATCATGCAGTAAAGCCAGGAGCTCTCACCAAGAGTGAATATATCGACTCTGATGACCCATACACATTCACAGAAACAGAACCACAAATCGTAACTCTTCACCCTAATTCCAATAACCTAACCCTCTCAAGGAAGCTTGTTCCTCTTATATCGAATAGATCAAATCAACTGTTTGTGAACAAAAATGGGATAAATATGGTATGTGTGGATCGAGAGTCCGAATTGAACAAGGCAAACAAAACTTTGGCTGACTTGAAAGCTGTTCAGTCGGCCGAGCTCCCTTCTAAGCCATTTGTGTCTAAAGTTACCAAGAACATCCATAGCTTAGAAGGGAGCTCAAAAACCATGAATAAACTACAGGCTGACATAGCTCGTAACAAACTAATTGGAAAGCGTAAGAAAATGGTTGTGAATAATAAGGTCGTTAGTGAGTGGGAGGACAAAGTTATTAAGACTGAACCTAACAGCAATCAACATTCAAGTCCTACAGTGTTTGCCAAAGTGTCAGTTCCAGCCAAGCGACTGCTGCGGCAGACAACTTGGCAAAGAGAGAGAAAATCAAGACATGAAGCTCTTCTAAGAATGCAACAAACACAACAACAAGTTTGGGATCTAAACCATGATCTCTATCCCTTAGGTGAGATATTTATTTAAAAATAATACGGTAGCCAAAGATCAGTTACTGTAATTAAATTTTAGATATTTCTTCAATATTTATTTACTTTAGTATTATTTACATTTTAGTATGTGCCATACTAATGCAATGTTGCTGATCTAATTCAATTTTAACACACATAAATAGACTTGCAGACTATCTAAAAGTATATATGTGTTAACAATAAAACAAAATTACAGTAGAACTCCAATTTTCCGAATCAATTGGGACTTTTGAAAGAATGCTTCAATACATGGCAATGAAGCAGTTTGTAAATATTGTCTGGCTATTTAGTAGCCACGTATAACAAGGAATGCAGGATGCATTTTCTCAAGACATGTTCAATTTAAGTGACATTAACAGCTCCAGGTAATAGAAAACTTTGGCATGTTCTTATTCAAATCTATATTGTAACAAATGTTTGTTTTTCTTTTTCGAGTTGGTTTGGCTCTTCTACCTGACCTTTTTCTATAATTTTGGTTTTAAATAAAAGGTACATACATGCACAGATTTGCCATCAAGCATCAGCATCGTATATTTCGGGTTATGCATAAAAGAAACTTCCTCCCTATACATTTCTTTTGGTTTTACTTAGTATTATTTCATTTTATTATTATATCATTTCTTATTTACTTTAGTATTATTTACATTTTAGTATGTGCCATACTAATGCAATGTTGCTGATCTAATTCAATTTTAACACACATAAATAGACTTGCAGACTATCTAAAAGTATATATGTGTTAACAATAAAACAAAATTACAGTAGAACTCCAATTTTCCGAATCAATTGGGGCTTGACCCCATTCGGATGATTGGATTTTTACCAAAATTTACTCTTTAAAAAAATAGGCTGAGTCATGCCGAGCTTTTACTATTGCGACCTCAGAGTATGTCTGCAATGATTTTGCGATCGGTAATATTATGCTTTCGCCGCAATCGCGGAGTAAGGTTCTGGTTTTACATGACCGCGGGAGACAATGATGGTGTGAACACGATTGGGAGACAGGTTTTGGATTTTGCCGCGATCACGGCTTCTACCTTCTTTAATAACGATTCTTGTTACTGTGGTTTTAAATTTTTTACCTACGACTGTTTAAGTAGCCGTTTCAGTTCAGTAAGGAATTAAAAAGTTTCCCATAACAGCATTGTTTACTTTCAAACCAGCATAGTTTTACTCATAACAATACGAGTATTGTTGTATTGTTGTATTGTTGTATCTAGTGTATCACTGTCTGGGGTGGATCCACTATGGACAATCTCAACCGGGTCCTGGTTATGCAAAAAAGGGCTATCAGAATAATAGCAGGCATAAGTAAAGAACAAAGCTGTAGAGATGCCTTCAAAAACCTGAACATCCTGACGGTGACTTCCATCTACATCCTAGAAACTGTTTTTTACTGTGTAACCAAAGACCCGCCTAAACAAAGAGATATACATGAATACAACACCAGATATGCAGGAAACTACGTGCTGCCTGGCCACAGAACAGCAATGTTTGAAAAGAAACCACTGTATGCAGGAGTGAAGATGCTTGACAAATTACCAGACCACTTGAAAATTGGAGGCCCGTTGCTGATGAAGAGGAAGCTACGGAGATGGCTGGTAGACAAAGCTTTCTACACCCTAAATGAGTTCTTTGCATGGCAAGACCACACACAACACTGAAGAGGCTTTTCCATTTCACTTTGTATCTAAAATTTTACGCTGTAACATTTCTTGATGAAATTGTAATAAAGAAATTGTCTATTGTCCATTGTATATAGTAACGCAACAAAGAGGTTCAAGGATTGAGAGAGAAGAAGTAAAATTGTAATGATTCAAACTTCAACTAATCAGCTGTTCAGCCCAAATTTAATTGTTGAGTGGTGCAATTAGTGGTTTGGTACAATGTTTCGTTGCATCAGTGTCAGTGGCAATGAGAGGCTATAAACGAAAACATAACCTCTCTTAGAAGTTATGAGTAGTGAATTTTAGTAATCAAAACACTGATATAGGTAAAGTAGTGTACGCAACTCTCGTAAATGGTGTTAACGACACTCGTAGAAGTTTTTAAGGCTCTCGCCTCTACTCAAGTCGTTAACACTATCTTTACGCAATCGTTGCGTAAACTACTATAAATTATTTCCGTAAGCAATTCGGATAATTGACGATTTGGATAGTTAGAGTTCGGATAATTTGAGTTCTAGCGTATACTTATAAAGTGATAATAAACCTATTCAACGACACTGTACTGATACCTTTAGATCATCTCCTTGTTTTGTTAAACCCTTTTTAATAACTATTAGATTGTTGTGTAAGATAAGTATTAGGGACTTAAGTTGTAGATAGGACTAGTTACAATTAGAATTAAGATCCAAGATTCAGATTTCCATGGTGGCCATAAACTGGGTATTCTGGGAAAATCAGGAATGTTGGGTGAATTTGTTGTGCTGGAAAAAACTGGGAATTGTGAACTGGGGATACTAAATGTCACTGAAAAACCTGATTTTAGTCAGCGGTTATAGTAGCCTAATTGAAAACATATTTTGAAATCACCAAGAAATCAGGAACATCTTCTGAGACCACTTCAAAATCGAGAACATTTTTAGCGTTTAAGGTTAAATTATGAGCATTTGCAGTCTTAAAATCATGAACATCTTCTGCGGTCACGTTTAAATCGAGAATATCTTCTGCTGTCACAGCAAAATCTTCCAAATTATGACTTAATGGTGAACGCCTTACATGATCACGGGAATATGGAGAACTACTTTTGTGGTCACAGCGAAATGGTTAGCATTATCTATCTAGTGATGGTGAAATCGAGAACATTTGCGGTCAAGGGGGCTTCATCATCTCCCGTGAGGACGGAAAGCGTTTGCAAAGATGCACAATCGAAAGTTAACAAATTGATTTTTGATACGCTCAACTCGACTCGAGCATGGCCCGATAATAATTTTTCGCCTATACCAATCCCTAGTGACAACTTTTGCCCTGCCCGAAAATTTCGGGGATCCACAGATCCCTAGTAAACCAAATACATGTCAATCGGAAACCGCAACCTGAAAGCCAAGATCAAATATAAATAGTCTATGTATAGGAATTTGACAGGGTGTCTAGTAGTCGAAAAGTCGGGAATTAGTATTGAATTTCACAATGGTCTTGAAAAGTCGTCGGGATTTAGTCTTAACCCCTTAACCGCCGTCTAAGTAGCCTAGTCAAAATCCGCCATTGCCACTTATTTTTGCCGTTTTTGACGATTTTTACTTGTGATTTAATAAACTGTACCAGTTGTTTTTCTAAAGAAAATAGTTATCAATATTGTTTGTAGACATCTTCAAAAACATTAAGCTTTAACCAATACCCTACTAAAATTTGTGATTGTGGGGGGGGGGTGGGGTTCGGGGGTTTCTTGAGTTAGGCCTATAATAAAAATTAGGCCTACAATAAAGTCTACAACTCTAATAAATCGTCATCCTCAAGCATGTCACCAGCCATTACGACTAATATTTACTACTCATTCAACACTACCAAGTAAATAACCACCAAAAAACACAATTATAATGACACGCATAATGTACGTAAGCATTACGTAAGCTTCCGCAAGCACAAGTTTTACTGAAACTACGAACGGAACTGATCGGGACCATTACTGACCTATAATACCACTAAAATCCACCAGCTTGCAGCACTAGTCAAGCAGCACTGTCAACAACTTGTTTACGTACGTATATCAGAGATAAGGCGGGAAGTGAGCTGTTAAAAATAAAACCCAACAGCTGTTTACGTCAACACGAGATAACTCGTACGTGGCGGTTGCTCTGAAAACTAGTATAGCCCGGCATATCTCGTGCGTGGCGGTTAAGGGGTTAATTTTGATATCAAAGGCGGGAATTTTCATGATTATGATCGCGGACGACGCCGAAGTTTCTGTGGCTGCGGGAGTCAATGATGATGTTTACACGGACGCGGAAAATGTTTATAATTTTGCCGCGATTGTGGACGACGACGATGACTTTTCCGAGACCGTGGGAACTACGATGACATTTTCGTGACCGAGGGAGAAAATGATGATGTCTACACGGCCGCAGAAGATGTTCTTGTTTTGCCGCGATCGCGGACAACGATGAAAACATTTCCGTTACCGCGGGAGACAATGATGATGTCTACACGGCCGCGGGAAATGTTCATAATTTTGCTGTGGGACGACGACGGTGATGTTTCCAAGACTGCGGGAGACGACAATGATGTTTCCGTGCGACGATCATGACGTCTCTGAGACCGCGGTAGACGACGATGACGTTTACGTGACCGAGGGAGACGACGATGATGTCTACACGGCCGCGGAAGATGTTCATGATTTTACCGCGATCGCGGACGACGATGATGATGTTTCCGTTACCGCGGGAGAGACGATAACGTTTCCGTGACCGAGGGAGACGACGATGATGTCTACACGGCTGCGGAAGATATTCTCGATTTTGCCGCGATCGTGGACGACGATGATGACGTTTGCGTCACTGCGGGAGTCATTGATGATGTCTACTTTGTCGTGGAAGATTTTCATCATCCAAAAAATGATGAATTGGCTAGTTGGAATTTTGTATTGCTCAATTTTTTCTTTGCTTGAAAAACACCCCATCATCTTAATAATACTTTATGACATAAAGACAGGGGTTGGTGTATTTATCCCTAAGGTTACTTTACAAACTCTGAAATTGATTAATTGTCGGTTTGATAGATCGATAGAAACTGGTGCTGTGAAACAAGTACATTTCTTTTAGGTTCTAGATGTTCTCTTAGAATTTTGACCAGGAATTTTGTAAGTTAATTCGTTCGGATTATTTGGTGAAGATAAGGATGAAACTATTTTAAAATTGCTAGTTCCAATTGAGTTCAAGAGCAATTTAGCACAGTAATCTTTGTTAGATGTAATATTTTTCATTTGAACGTAATTTTCAAAGCGTTGATAATAGTTTGAAAAAGTTTCCTTTTGATGGTCAAAAATTTCAAAGTTGGGCACATAAGAATGAGTTAAGTTTGTTTCAGATTGTTCAGTATCACCATTTGGCTTTACGTTAGAACGTTGTGTTGAAAGTTGACTTACCATTGTTGTTATCATGGATTGTTGCATTTCCAAAAATTGCTTGAATTGTTCTTGATCCATGTTGATGAGATATAATTGAAATGTTTCTGATTGATAATTGAAAATTTAGCTGGATGAAAAAAAATTGGTAGATAGTCCTGGCCTAGATTGCTTACAGGTAATGTTCATACAGTAAAAGTCACTCACTTGAGGTTTACTGTTTACTCGTCGCCAATCAACTTGTCGTGGCCTTGTGTATGCACGCGTATTTTGTTGACTTTGATAATTGAAAAATGTAGCTTCATTTGTAAAGATTTATTTTACAATACATAATTGATTGATAAAAAATGTGTAATGTTGGTGATGACTTATTTAACACTCTAATTATTATTAATAAACATATGGTAGATATTTCCTTATTGCCAACATAGAACATTGAAGAAAAATCTGGAATTAGTCTTGAAAAGTCTTGAATGAGTCTTGAATTTTTTAATGGAAATAAACTAGACACCCTGATTTGAACATTTATGTCAGTGCATTCATAAACTATGCAAAAGATATTGTATTTTCTCATCGTCAGATCGTTACAGTCGTTTAATCGTCAAATCGATTGTCGTGCTTCACTTAACCATTTTTCTGTAAGCATAAATTAAATGAACATGTTGATAAACCAAAACAATATATGATTTTGCAATATGTTTATTTAGTTACCACTTTCAGAAAATACTAATAAGTACATATTCGTTCGTTTTTATAGTTGTTTTAGGCCTACTTATATTTTTGGAATATTTTATCTATGTTTTCGTTTTGAACTGTTTTATTCACTGCCCTCTTCTTGAATCTGAGTTAGTTTAGGTGTTTGGATACTTTGAATAGTTTTCAATGTAAGATTAGGGAAAAACTATTAAGTTTACTTTCTTCAAGCGCTCGGCAAGTTTTTACTTTAAAAATTTGAATTTTGAACCTGGAAAACCTGGACTTGCCATTGCATTTTATTTTCATGGGAGGCTGGACACCTTGAATTGTTATGATTGCCTATAAAACATTATTCTTGTAAAATAAATAATCATTTTTATACCACATATAAATGTTTGGTAGGTTTGGAACTGTCAGACTCAGAAGGTGAGGAGGACAGTCGAGGGGTGTTCCAGAGGCATTGGTTCATGGGCTGTGTGTGGGGAAGTGTGGGCTGTGGCAGTGGTGGCAGGGAGTCACGACTGGCTCAGGTCAGCAGTGAGATGCGGCGGCGAATGCGACAGGTCTGGCGTAATCCTGGACATTGCTCTTATCTGAGTCATGACTATGTGACATCAATTGTTGATGCAGCTAGGACTCACCCTATATCTACTGCACTCTTGCTTCATCCGAATTTGAAATTTCCATCTAGACCGCAGAGCAGGTAATTTTTAAAAATATTTGATAACTATTTTTATTCAGGTTTGATTAGAAAGGGCTTATTGCCTGAGAATTAAAGAGACAAAGGACAGGTTACAATAGGATATTTTTATTGAGATTCTATATTTTCTATATTTTTCTATAGGCCTATATTCCTTTCTATATTTTTATTCAGTTTGTTTTGTATCTATATTTTAAAAATATATTTTAATAGGCAATGTAAACAAATTTAAAAATCTAAAAATGGCTGTTTCTGGAAAGAGAGAATACATACTAAATTAGTGAGTGGCGGATCCTAGAAAACGTCGGTACCGGATCTGGATCTTGAAAAATTCGGATCTTCGGATCCGGATCCAGATACACACTGTCATAAGGGCGGGTTAAAAAAAACGTAATTAACAGAATGCCAATTTAAATCATACTTTTATTATTTTTATCGCGATCGGGTGGGATTAAAATACTAACTGGATATTTTCTAGACGAGATTATAGGCTGTTAGCTTATCATCCAGGTACAAAACTAAAAAATAAAGGTGAGCAGACATCCGAAAAATCGGGTTGGATTCAGTTAGAAAAGATACATGCCATTGCCATATATGTTATTTATTTGTATCAAGAGACAAACACTGAAACATGGCCTTGCCATATAAGGTATTTGCACCAAGAGACAAACACTAAGACATGACCTTGCCATATAAGTTATCTGCATCAAAAGACAAACACTGAGTCATGGTCTTGCCATATAGGTTTTTTGCAACAAGGGCAAACACTGAGACATGGCCTTGCCATGTAAGTTATTTGCATCAAGAGACAAACACTGAGACATGGCCTTGCCATATAACTTATTTGCATCAAGAGGCAAACAATGAGACATGGCCTTGCCATTTAAGTTATTTGCATCAACATACAAACACTGAGACATGGCCTCGCCATATAAGTTATTTGCATCAAGAGACAAACACTGAGACATGGCCTTGCCATATAAGTTATTTGCATCATGAGACAAACACTGGAACATGGCCTTGCCATATAAGTTATTTGCATCAAGAGACAAACAATGAGACATGGCCTCGCCATATAAGTTATTTGCATCAAAAGACAAACACTGAGACATGGCCTTGCCGTACAAGTTATTTGCATCTAGATACAAACATCGAGACTTGGCCTTGCCATATGAGTTGTTTGCATCAAGAGACAAACACTCAGGGAAAAAACGGTCTTGTACATGGATACAGACAGCTTTGTGTTAGTAAAAAAATCGGGGTTGTACAGTGACACAGATAACTTTGTGTTAGTAAAAAATCGGGGTTGTACAATGTACAGTGATACAGACAGCTTTGTGTTAGTAAACAAATCGGGGTTGTACAGTGATACAGACAGCTTTATGTTATTAAAAAAATCGGGGTTGTACAGTGATACAGACTGCTTTGTGTTAGTAAACAAATCAAGGGAAAATCGGTCTCTTACATGGATACAGACAGCTTTATGTTAGTAAACAAATCGATCTCTTACATGGATACAGACAGCTTTATGTTAGTAAACAAATCGGGGTTGTACAGTGATACAGACAGCTTTGTGTTAGTAAAACAAATCGGGGTTGTACAGTGATACAGACAGCTTTATGTTAGTAAACAAATCGGGGTTGTACAGTGATACAGACAGCTTTGTGTTTAGTAAACGAATCGGGGTTGTACACAGTGTTTCCATTCGCGGGATTATTATCCCGAAAACCGGATTTTTAGACCATGAGCGGGATTAAAACGGGATGCGGGATGAAACAGGATTTTCGGCTTGACGAATGTTTTTATTTTTTTTCTACTCAATTTGAGAGAAAACTAATTTAAATTGTTTAAATACTGTAGCAAAATATAATAGTGATGTTTAAACAACTTATAAAAATGATACGTAAAGTTTAATACTAGGTATTGTACCCAAAAAAATTATGCGGGATAAACGGGATTTTTCACGAATTTAAAAGCGGGATAAAACGGGATTTCTCAACCCAGTAAGCGGGATTATTTTTTTGGTCGTGTGGAAACACTGGTTGTACAGTGATACAGACTGCTTTGTGTTGGTAAAAAAATCGGGGTTGTACAGTGATACAGACAGCTTTGTGTTAGGAAAAAATCGGGAAAAAATTTGAAAAAATCGGATCCATCAAAACCGGATCCAGCCCAAGATCCGGAATTTTTTGGATCCGATCCGGTGCCGGTTCTAGCTCGGATCCGGCGGATCCGGTAGTCCGATATACGGTAGTCCGATATCCGGATCCGACCATCACTATACTAAATGACACATTAGGCCTAAATGAGATCAAATAACATTGACGCAAATACAAATTAATGACAAAATTTAATTACTGGGTATGTAGGATTTGTAGTGTATTCTAAAGGCGTTTTCAACAATTAAAAAGCGGACTGTATATGGGGTTATTAATTTAATCTTGATAACAACAGAAAATAATTATGGACTTTTGGTTTAATTTTAACACTGAAATATATTTCTGTTGTTTTTTGCCTCCTGATCACAAATTTAAATTAATCTAGAGGTTAAAATACCTTTAATCCGTCAATCTGATCAAATGTCACCGATGAGCGGCGACCGGTTTCAGCCCAGCTGTGGGGGCCATCATCAGGCGATGAAGGAACATAAATATCACTCCGAAGAGGTCGTCATACAGTCTATAAATACGTCACGAGAAACAACACATAGATACATTATTTACAAACACACATGTGGCCACAAATTAACTGTGCGGCGGACGGTATGCGTACCACAGTACAGTGATACAGGTACTGGGTTTGTTTTTGTGAAGTAGAGTCAATTAATTCGTAAAACATGTAGCTTGGACACACTTGATGATGGCACGCTCTGAGTTCTTACGTTCTGAGACGGTGAGATGTCCATGTCTTCGGTTAGAGCTACGTGCATTATGGATAAACCGCATGACTTGGCTTGTTACTCTGAGTAGTTTGGACCACGATGAGTACTTCGAGAGAAGTTCCCATTCTGGAGGTTGGGTTGAAACTAGGACATTTAGAGAAGTTGTTTTACATTCTTGAGTGTCATGCAAGTTGATGAGAACGAAGCGATTAGATGGCCAATGATAATTTGAAAGAGTTAACCATTTAGGGCCATTCCACCATAGAGGATGATCAATGAGTTGAGCGGGAAGCAAACCACGCGACCGCGACGCACAATCAGCGGGGTTGTCCGTTGAGGGAACATAGCGCAAGGAGTGAGAGGGGATCAATGCTTGAGCTTGAGCAACTCTGTTGGCAACATACGTTTTTAGTCGATAAGATGGGGTGTGTAACTAAGTGAGGGTTACTGATGAATCACACCATAATGTAGTTTGAGAAAGGTCAATCTTTTGTTTGAAAATTGTACAACAGTAGGTTGTGAGTTTTCAAGTAAGTGTGCACCACATAGTTCCAAGTGGGGTAGAGTAACACGTTTCAAAGGAGCTTTTTGCGAGAATCTGACGAGTGATGATTTCTCCAGTTGAAAACTCACAGCGGAAGTATAAAACTGCCGAGTATCCTACTTTGGAGGCATCTGAAAATCCATGGAGTTGTAAGGAACATGTGGTAGTGAAGTGGAACGAGCGAGGGATCTTAATACTTGAAAGTAGAAAGGTTTCGTCAACGAAAATGTGCCATTTTTCGGCGAGTTCATTTGGAAGAGTGTCATCCCATTGGATACCCTGTGACCAGAACATTTGCATGAGGGTTTTTGCCCACATGGTCACGGGGGACAAAAATCCGGTAGGGTCGAAAATGCGTGCTATAATGCTCAGCACTGATCGTTTTGTAGGAGGACCACCGGGGAGACTTAAGTTGTAAGTAAAATAATCTGAAATGGGTGACCAATGTAGTCCGAGAATGGTGAAATGAGGGTGATTAGTGGCTTCCAAGAAGACTGTGGTGTTTCTTGATGATCTTGAGGCAAATCTTGGAGTAGTTCTGGGCAATTGGATGTCCATTTTCTTAGCTCAAAACCACCACGTGCGAGAAGTTCGATCAGCTGATCTCGTAGTTCTTTAGCTTCATTGAGTGTATGAGCTCCGCAGATTCTGTCATCCGTATGATCCTGTAAAACTTTAGCTGCTGCTGGGAAGGACCCAAGTCTTCTGACTTCCTCGTCAGCAAGTTGATGTAACGTTCTGATGACATGGAAAGGTGAACTGCTTATGCTTAGACCGTATGTAACTGTTGTTAATTTGTATGTGGAGATTTCCTGAGTCTTTGGATCAAGCCATAAAATTAACTGATATTTCTGGATGTCAGGATGAATTTGAATGCAACGATACATTTTCCTTATATCGCAACTGAACACTTCATTATGTGAACGAAAATTCAACAAAATGTCACAAATGTCAATTTGAAGTTTGCAACCGGTTAAAAGAATATAATTTAGTGCGACACCGGTACTGGTTTTGCAGCTACCATAAAAAACTGTACGAAGTTTGGTTGTACTACTGGTTTCCTTCAGTACACCGTGATGAGGCAGATAGTAGTGTGGCTGTGAAAGATCAGAAGGGGATGCTTTAGCCATGTGTCCGAGATTTTCATATTCAGTTATATACTGTGTATAAAATTCCTTGAAATTAGAGTTGGATTCAAACTTTCGTTCAATTGAGGTGAAGTCTATGTTCAGCAGCAGATTTTGAAGTGCCCAGTGGTTGATGTTGGTCCTTGAAAGGGAGTCGAACCACATATAGCGGGAGTGAGTTGATTTGAAGTGATCTTCAGCAAGGCGATCGTCTTCAGAGATAAGATAAGACACTGCGGTACCTCTTCTTGTTGCCAAATGTGAAGTAGAGTATTATGTAGCTCGTTGGTAGTGGAGAGTAGAGACGAATGGCATGAGGTGGGAGAAGAGTTAGACAAAGTTGGTGCATTGCCCATTAACACAAATCCAAATCGTGTTCCAATAACGAATGGAAGGTTTGGGCCCAATGGGTAGGATTGGTGAGTAAGAAGTTCTGGAAACAAAGCACCTC